TGTATGTATGTATGTATGTATGCATGCATGCATGCATGCATGCATGCATGCATGCATGCATGTATGTATGTACTTATGTATGTATGTATGTATGTATGTATGTATGTATGTATGTATGTATGTGCGAATGTATGTATGTAATGCATACATACACACTACATACATGCCCGCAATGCTTTAGGGACTGGGGCTTCCAGGTTGCAAGAAACCAGAGAGGCGCCTGACGAGAGCTTCTGCAACTTCTCTCAGGGAGGCAACGGTGCGGGCTTTCTGGTAGTTTGGGCATCGGGACTTAGGTTTTTTGGACATAAACACACTACATGTCAGTTTCTGGCAGGTGGTCTGACGTTTAGCGACTTGACATACCACCGGAACGGCACCGCGCACGTCAAGCTGAAGCTTGAGTTGAAGCAGGGCCGGATTTATGCCCTCACTGGACCCAATGGAGCTGGCCCCGCGGCATGAAAAGTCCTGCAACACTACGCAGCATCACCATAGATTCTGGTGCTTCGCCACTAAGGCAAGAGCACATTGCCGCAGGGTTGCACTTGAATGAGTGAGGAGTTGGGTGCTGTGCGTCAGCTACCTCTCCTCCTTTAGGGCACGGCTGATGCTTGAAGATGTTTTCATGCGTGATCATGCATGGCAAGACGTATAAGTTAAGCGACGTGCATGATTGAGGTTCGCTGTGCTGACGGCTTGTGCACAGAGAATGTCCTTACCCAACGGGCTACTAGTGGAGGGCCGCATGGCATCTGGGCCTGCAACTTTTTTCTCGAAGGAGCCATAATGCTTCCTGAACCGGTTGCGGTTATGCAGCTTAGTGGTGACTCACAGTTGTTGAGTGACCAGTGACGATACGCCGCAGGTAATGCCTTCGGGCGAGCTTGTCGAAGTCGCGCAGAGGCGTGGAGCCTTGCATTTTCAGCTGCTGGCTTAAGATGTGTCGGCTTCCGCAGGCCATACCACCCATTCTATGTGCAACCGCTTGCATGGCTCCTGAACGAAGCTAACTCTGCTGCACTTGAATCTGGAGAGCTGGAGCGCCTTGAGGCTCGAGTGGAGACTGGTCTGCAAGGAAGGAACTGACAACAACAGCGCATCCCTGAACTCTGCAGCGATCCTAGGTTCAGGTGTCGGAGAAGCTGGGCTTCAAGTCTGCCCAGGTGGGTTCCACGCTGTCTTGCAAAACCATCTGTGTGGTGGAGTTTATCCCGGTGGTATCTTTGTGGTGTCTTCTGGTGTCATCTAGAACCTAGATTTACATCAAGACCCCTGCAGAGATCCTCAGATACAAGAGTTGACATGTATGCAGACATGTATGTGTGCACATGCTCTCGTCGAGCGTACGGGGTTGCGGCACAGAGTCTTTCTCTAGTCACCAGGTGTTCGTAGTTCAAGCATATGCTACCGGCGTGTATCTAGATATACGCACAGGGACCCAAGCTTACTCGCAACCGATGTACCTTACACACACATCCATATACATATATATATATATGTTTGTTTATGCATGCATATATATATATATGCATGTTTGTACAATACGTGACAAAAAGTGTATGTGTATATGTGTGTATGTCTGCATGTGTGTATGCATGCATGTATGTGTATTTAGGAAGATACCAGAGATATGTACATGACACGTGCGAGGCATTCATCATATGTCTCTGCATAAACATACATGTACAGTCACACACACGCACAACCATCCTCACGGAGAATGCTGCACCACAGATGAAATCCAGGTGTGTGTGTGTGTGCGCGCACATACAGCTCACACACACACACACACAAAACCATATATGTTCCACTCGCTCGCTCGCTCTCTCGCTCTCTCTCTCTCTCTCTCTCTCTCTCTCTCTCTCTCTCTAGGCATATGTGTCTGCAAGTGCTCGTGCCGTGCGTGTGTCCGCACATGCTGTACTGTACGTAAGGTGTGCACATGTGCACATCTTTAGACTCTGATTTAGACTGTGCAAAGATGCATCTGCACCAGTGACTGCACAGTGGCATCTGACTGATGACTAATGCGTCTGAGAGAACATACGCTTGAAACGGAAAGTTGAAAAGCCTTGCTTGAGTTCGATATGATGTTTCAGATCTGATCTACACAGAGAATGATTGATGGATGTGCTGCTGGCTGGATGGCTGCTTCCGTGGAGGGGTAGACTGCTTCGGGCATGTTGGCGGCGGGAGGGGCAGGCAGAAGAAGATCACGTAGGCGCAGAAGCCGTCGTCTGTCTGTCTGTCGACCTACTCGTATCGGTTTGTCCGTCTGCTTCCCCCGTGGGCCGATCATCCAGCTACCCCCAACCGAACCTGCAACCAAGAACCAATCAATAATTAGAATAGGGTTTTGGGGTCCATTATGCTATAATTAGATCAAGGAACCCCCAAAGTAGTCCAAGCCCCAACCAAGAACCAATCAAAATTACAGTTATGGTTATTATTGTTTATTGCTGTTTATTATTATTACTTATGATTATTATTATTATTATTTCTTGACTCAATCCTTGAGGAGTCCGAGTCGCAGGGGTTGACAGCCGAGGAGCTGCGGCAGGAGTCAAAGGCAACCAGGCTGCAGAGTACTACTTGGAGGGTTTAGGGTTTAGGCAGCTTGGAGGCACTTCAGAGAGACCTCGTTCAAAAAGGGTTTAGGGTTTAGGGTTGGAGGATCATGGGACTTAGTAAGTCCCCTAATTAGGGTTATAAGTATGGTTACCCTAATTGTAACCCTACTTACTAAGTCCCATGACCCTTTAAGTACAGAGTACTGAGAACTTTCAAACATCGGATGCATGACGACATGATCCAGAAGTCTTCATACCCGAGGCCTTTCAAGTTCCAAAGCTTTGGGTTGAGGATTTCGCTCTCGCGTCGGGGAAGGTCAAAACTTGCGATGTCTTCATAGGGGTTTCAGCGATCACCTTCAGCACGTAGAAGTGAGAGCAAGGCTTTTGTTTCCCTCTGTCGATCGCTCTCTCTCTCTCTCTCGTTTGTGTCTTCTGGTGGCTATATAAAAATCATACATCTGTATGACATACATGTAAAGCCACATGCATGTGCTCACCAATTACTATGCTTGGAAACGGCGAGGATTGGTACAGCGGGCTATCCGGCGGCCAGCGGAGCAAAGCCGAGCTGATGCGCCAGATCTTCTTGAAGAGCCGATGCCCGGAGGACTTGCTGTGTCCCGGTAGTCCAGGTCTCGGGTTTTCGGATGTGCATCCACAGGGTTTGTGGTCGGATGGTGCAGGCTGCTGCCCCTTTGTCTTTGCTGACATCGATTTGCAGTGTGGGGCTGCGTGGTGCGTCTTTGCAGGTCGTCCTGATCGATGAAGCGTTAGCACCGTTGGATCCGGTCTCGAAGCAGCTGGTGCAAAAGCAACTGAAGGCACGGATTGCGAGCCACTTGCACATGGACATAGCTTCCTGGACCGTCCTGGCAAGCCCTTGCGAGGAGTTTTGCTCGGAGTCGATTCTGCTGGTTATCTATCACACAGGCAAGGACTGCCACAGCTCAGGGCCTGAACTTGTTTTTCATTATCTGCATTTGCCAGGAGATGGAGTTCAATGTGTGAACAACAGTGGCTTCTTTGATGACAACTTGCACATATCCAATGGGCACGCGCAACTTGTGGGATTGTGCTAATGAGACAGATGCACTAGCTGACCGCAAATGGACCGGCACCATCAAGGAGCACCGCCAGGGGTTGGCGGAGCATCAACAGCCCTGCTGAAGATGTCATGGGCGCCGTGCCAGAAGATGTCCTCGTCTTATGCGGTTGGAGGTGGCCAGGTATACCACGCCTCGGTTGTTCGCACGACATGTCGGCACAGACACCACAGCGCGAGATGTTGGAATTCCAGGCGTCAAGATCGGAAGCCGCAAAAGCACATGCGGAGCAGAGCTGTACGGCCGAGAGAAAAGTGTCGTCCTGCTTGCTGAATATAGTATAATGCCTGCAAGCCGCACACAATCGTCCAATGAGCACTGCAAGTAGAACTGCACATACAAGTACACCATTCACTACAGCAACATAATGTGGATTGCAGCCCCTCCTCAAAAAAGTATGTGCAAATAGACATGCATGCACGTGAATGTGGGCAACTGAATACTTGCCTGATGCTACGGAAACTGTACTGCTTGGTAGGCGAGCGAATCACCATCGATCTGGAGAATGCGTGCAGACCCCAGACACCAGCAGCCAGTTCTGAGAAGTGGAATCCTTCATTTCAGAGACCCTAAACCCATCTGAATATGCCTCGCCTGGATTGTCCGAGTGTGAGCGCCGAAACCCATCTAAACCCTGAAACTCAACTCCTAGCGAGACTGCTTTGCGCGTTTCGTCAAGGCTTGGCGGTCCAGCCGAGCCCTTATATCATGCCAGATAGGCTGCTAGTTTTGACACGGTGTGATTAGTGGAAGTTTGCCAGGGATACTGTTCAGTGTTTCAGTTCGATCGAGACGTTCTATGGAAGGGAGACGCAGCATTCAGAGTTTTGCTCAGGATCGTCCAATCAGGAAGCCGCCGAAGATGGACCGACCGCTCGGCACTCCAGCTGAAAGCAGCAGCTGCAGCCTTAGCATCGGGCTTGACAGCAAACGCACGCAACACAAAGAGGCTCTTGCAGAGGCCTGCTCACCTTTTGCTGTGTCACTTGCATGAGAGGGCTCGCTGAACAAAACTGGTTGCACATACACGAACACAGAGAGCGAGTCTGAGCGGGGGTACGGAGCAAAACGAAACCTGCACAACCTGTAGGAGTTGAGAGCGTTGTGAGTCTGTGCTTCTGTTGCTCCAGTCCAAGCAGTGCCAGCACAAAGCCCAGCAAAAAGAGCCGGTGCTCAGCAGTTTACCGGGAAAAAGCGAGCGAGGAGGTGCGTGGCCGGGGGGTTTAATTGGTGTTGTGAGATCACGGCGGTCATGACAGTTTCCGGCCTCGCTTCATCGCATGGTAGAGCACACGCAGACCGAGACTTCCAGGGCGCATGAGTGCACGAGGGGAGGTCCGGTCCGGCCTCCCTTTGGCTGAAGAAGAGAGAGAGACAAAGAGAGCGAAATGGCCCTAGGGAAATATGTGATCATATAAAATTTATATAAATAAATAAGTATGTATATATATATATACACATATGCATATGTATATGTGGACACACACACACACACATACCGATACCTGCCTGCCTACCTACCTGCATGCGTACATACATACATGCATGCAGACATGCTGACACATACAGACACCCACTCATGCATGCATGCATGCGTACGTAGGTACATAGATGCATCAACTCATCCGTGCATGCATACCAGGCAAAAAAAACCAAGACGACAGCAACACACACATCTCAACCACCATAACAAGCACCACAGCCACAGCAGCCACGACAAAAGCAACCACGACAACACACGACAAAGTCATCACAACAGCTACGACAACAACAACAACCACAACAGAAACAGCAACAACAACATAACAGCAGCAGCAACAACAGCTGCTGCTGCTGCTACCACTACTGCTAC